AAAACCATTAAATTCAACCAAAAGGCATTGAATTCCTGGTCAAACTGGGCTCTTTCCAAGTCAAAAACGGATTCGTCGAAATCATCCGAAAAAAGCAGGTCAACCCACTCGTTTGACTTTTTGTTGGTCGAAACAGGCTCCAAAATCTTTAGCCATTTGTTCTGCATCATTACACACTTTTACAAAGTGATATATGTTCCCTATCTGATTAACAACATATTAAGCTTTATATGATTTCTCTTGGTTTTTTAAAATAACAAGATTTTTTTATTTCCTAACAACTTTGTGATAAAAAGGAATGTGATTCCATCACTACCAAGGAGATATAATGTTAATAGAGTATTCGTGTTCTTCCAACAACTCTTCTGCAAGGATTAAGGAGTGAGCCTAAAGTTTGCAAAAGTTGGGCGGGGTCCTGGGGAGTCACAAAATTGAGTAAGAATGAGGCGTTCAATAACTAGTTCTTAGCAGAAGTATTTGTGAGGCTAAGGCAACACTACTTTGAGATAGTTGATTTGTTTTGCCAGGGACGGCTAAGTCTTCGTGACTTTTCCCTCAGGTTTCCACGTAAAAAATTCCTGGTGCCATCTCTTACTCTATCGCACTTTATATGTTCATGTTATTAATTTTGTTTTAATTTAGATAAAAATTAAAACAATCTAAAAATTGAATAAAGGAGCAAGTTAAATCTATTCATCCTTTAGGTATTGTTTTGAAGTTTAAGTTTTCACAACCTTTTCCACATCACACAACTTAGAGGCTCTGTATTTTATTTTTAAAATAAGAAAGACAAGGTCAAATCCACATCTTTTGTACTCTCTCTCTTGGAAATTTTTTTGAAGGTTTCATTTTAGAGTGCCAGAGTGACATATATACACACATATGTTTTTATCAGTAAAGGTTAGTGTTGTTTCAAAACCTAATCGATGAAGGGTGGAAGAAAATTTGTAAAGAGAGAGAACGTCAAATCATGTCTTTGTACTCTCTCTCTCTCAAATTTCTTTTAGGCAAAGAAATTGTAAGAGGTTTTTAAATATTTTTTTCCCAAGTTTTTCAAATAAGAGCACAGAATATAATGGAATGATTGGGAGGAGAAAATTCTAATTACATAAGTGAAATAAAATAAAATCTTCCTAAAATCTTGATGCTTTCAAATTTGGCTTGATCTTTGACTTGATGTGCTTTCCAATTTGGTCTGATCTTTGTTGATTTGATGGAAAGTCAAATTTGAATTTGACTGATTGTATAATCTCATAAACTTGCTATTTTTGTCTCTTTCCTTCTTATTCTGAAATCAGCCCTTCCAAAACATGAAAAACAGGGATAAGAGTATTTATCTAATAAAAAATATTAATTAATCATTTATTATTAACTATAAAATAACATTTTTTGTGCACTTATCAGTCTTCTTTATGTGATATTAATTTATTTTTGGCAATTATCATATACAAAACAAGTCTAAGTCGAGTTGTAATTCAGATTACTTGTTATGTAAGTTATGAAGTTTGACAGGGACTACAGAATTGGGAAGATGTTCAAAGTTACCATTTTTGAAGATCATTCGAAGATAAAGATAAGAATAACACTTTAGGAAGGAATCTAAACAAGGTTGGACACATTCTACATTTACCATTTTGTTTAGAACTTACCATAGAATGAATCTAGGTTGAAGGAACCAAAATTTCAAGGCTGCCAACCTTGAACCCGTTCAGCCCCTTTGAACCGGTTCAAGATGCTTAAGTTTGGCTTCAAAAAGTCTCTGCCAAACTTAAACCGGTTCAGCTTCTTTGAACCGGTTCAAGAAATCCTGTTTACTATACAACTTCAGTTTCCTTATTCTAAATTGTTTCCCAGTTGGTCAAGAATTGTACCAAATCCTATGCACGAATTTTTTTCCTTATTTTTAGAAGGATTACATCATTTTATTGTCTATATAAACCATGTCATATACATTGGTTTATTTATGACTTTTACATTATTATTCAGATAATATTCAAAGCCTTAGGTAGATTATTTTTACAAAAAATCAGAGTTGATTTTTCTGATATCTTTCTAGAACACATACACTTAAACACATAGTGAGTTTAGAGTTGTGGTATTCAAATCCTGATCGTGATCATACAGTCGTATTAGCATCGATCAGACGAAGCAGATCTTCTTCTACATTGTTCAAACAATTAAAGAAAAAAAGTAAACGCAATCATACTTTGAAAGGGTTGGAGCATTCGTCGAGTGTTCTCTGATCTACCTGCTACTCTTCTACAAATATCAAGTGTAAGTCTGAGGTCAAGTTGCTATTGGATGGGGAGTCGTAAAGGCAAAATATCATCAGTAGTTGGTGTTGGGTAAAACGATAGGGTGTGAGTTAGAGTCACAGTTCGGTATATTTTGTTTCAAGCTTAGTGGATTGGTTTACTTTGGACTCCATAGTCCACAAGGTTTTTCCCTTAACAGTTGACATATTTTATCAACTCGGGTTTCCTCGCTAAAATCTTGGTGTCATCTCTAACTTTATACTTTGTTTTATTTTATCTGTATGTGATTAATTGTTAGAATAAGTAAAGTTAGTAACGACACTGATCTGTTTTACAAAATCTAATACTTTCTTAAAATAAATTCCGTTGCGTATGACTCACAACTTGGTATCAAAGCCAATCTCCACACATTGAGTGGATCCTTGTTGGAAAGTTTAGTTTAGTTTTCAAAAATTGTTTTAATCATGTCATATGCATTGAAAAAAGGCAGTTCTAATCAATGTGGTCCTTTTTTTGAAGAAGATAATTAGAATTTTTGGAAATCAAATATGAGAGTTTATTTGTAAAATTCTGATGGTAAAACTTGGGCGATAGTTGAATCTGGTTATACACCTCCTACAGTAGATGTAACTATAGATGATAGAATAGTTAACGAGTTAAAAGATACTTTTACTTTTACTACTATTGAAACTGAGCGTAATGATGTTAATGGCAAAGCTTTATATTCAATTATTAATTCTGTTGTTCCATCTGAATATGCTAGAATTTCTGATTGTAAAACTGCTAAAGAAGCTTGGGATATTTTGCAGGTTACTCATGAAGGAACTTCGAAAGTGAAAATTTTCAAAATTCAGTTGTTCTCTCATAAATTTGGTAACATTGTGATGAAAGAAGATGAATCCTTTTCTGATTTTTATTCTAGTCTTCTTGAAATAATTTCTAAAATGTGTCACCTATGGAAAAAAGTTAGTGATAAAAAAATCTGTGAGAAAATCTTAAGGTCTTTACCTAAAAGATTTCAGATTAGGGTTGAAACCATCTCTGAACATTGGGATTTAACTACCTGTCAAGTTGATGAGATGGTAGGTTCATTAAAAACTTTTGAGATGCAGAATTTTGATTTAAGTTAGAAAGAGAAAAATCTTGCTTTAAAAACTACACAAGTTGAGCATTCTATGATGTGCAGGAATCAATTCAGGTCAAGCCTTATGTCCAAGAAGAATGGTGGTCATATTTCATATTTTGCCTTTTAACAATGACTGTAATTTACTTTTTTGCTTTGGGTAGATTGCGAAAATTGTTTTTAGAATTTTATCACGAAATTGCCAAAGGGGGAGATTGTGAGATACTAATTTATTTTTGGTAATTATCATAGACAAATCAAGTCCAAGTCGAGTTATAATTTAGATTACTTTTTCTATAAGTTATCAAGTTCGACAGGAAATAAAGAACTGGGAAGTTGTACAAAGTTACCATATTTGAAGATTATTCGAAGATAAAGGTAAGAACAACACTTTAGGAAGGATTCTAAACAAGGTTGGACACATTCTACACTTTCCATTTTGTTCAGAACGTACCCTAAAATGAATCTAGGCTGAAGGAACCAAAATTTCAAGGCTGCCAACCTTGAACCGATTCAGCCCCTCTGAACCGGTTCAAGATGCTTAAGTTTCGCTTTGAAAAGTCTTTGCCAAACTTAAATCGGTTCAGCTTCTTTGAACCGGTTCAAGAAGTCCTGTTTATTATATAATTTCAGTTTCCTTATTCTGAATTGTTTCCAAGTTAGTCAAGAATTGTACTAAATCCTTTGCACAAATTTTTTTCTTATTTTCAGAAGGATTAGGTCATTCTATTATCTATATAAACCATGTCATATACATCAATTTATTTACCGCTTTTACATTATTATTTAGATATTATTCAAAGCCTTAGGAAGATTATGTTTGCAGAAAATCATAGTTGATTTTTCTGATATCTTTCTGGAACACATACACTTAAACACAAAGTAAGTTTAGAGTTATGGTGTTCAAATCCTGATCGTGATCATACAGTCGTATTAACATCGATCAGATGAAATAGATCTTCTTCTACATCATTAAGATGATTAAAGAATAGAAGTAAACGCAATCACACTTTAAAAGGGTTAGAGTATTCGTGGAGTGTTGTCTGATGTATGTACTACTCTTCTACGAATATCGAGTGTAAACCTGAGGTCAAGTCCAAGACAATGATCAATCATATCAACATTATCTTTGACCAAGTAAATGATATCTCAAGTAAATGTACTATCAATAATTCATTTACTATACAAAATAAGTAATCAAAACCAATTTCATCAATTCATAGCCATAGTATGCTTTCTACAGATAATCCATGTGTCATTAAATTCCTTGTGTTCAACATGCTTAATCAATATGGTTTGCTTAACTTCCCAAAAATATAATCTAGACTCTCAAGATATGCATGAAAATCATTTCTAGATTTTGTCCTTGCAATGCATCTAATCAAGACAACAGACACCAATAGATTTCCTAGAATGAGAAAACTTAGGAGCATCTAATGGTTTAATGAGAATATCAGCCAAATTATGATCAGTGTGCACTTTTTGCAAAGACATGACATTTTATTCAACAAGTTCCCAAAGAAAGTGATGTCGAAAGTTAATGTGGTTAGTCCTAGACTGCAAAAATAGATTCTTTGAAATATTTATTGTATTAGTATTATCACAAAAGATAGCAATAGTACCTTGATCAACTCCATAATCCGAAGCATTTGTTTCATCCAAAGAAATTGTGTACAATAATTTCCAGCAGCAATGTATTCAGCCTCACAAGATGATAAAGATCTACAATTTTGCTTCTTACTATACCATGAAACAAGATTAGTACCAACATAGAAACAACCACCCGAAGTACTCTTTCTATCATCCATGTTACCAGCCCAATCAACATCAGTATAGCCTACAATCTCAGAGTTAGACTCAGAAGAATAACACAATCGATAATTCAATGTACTATTGACATAACGAATAATGCGTTTGACTGCAAGAATATGTTATTATATAGGATCAGCTTGATACCTAGCACAAACACCTACATTAAATGAAATATCTGGCCTAATTGCTGCCAAATACAACAAGCTACCAATCATCCTCCTATACAAGAAATGATCAACCTTGTTAGGATTAGAGTCTCTATTCAATTTGGACGAAGTACTCATAGGGATTTGCACATGCTTTGAATCTTTCATACCAAACTTCTTAACTAGCTATTTTGCATATTTTGATTGAGATATGAAAATCCCATCATTAAGTTGTTTCACTTGGAGACCTAGAAAGAAAGTCAGTTCACCAACCATGCTCATTTCAAAAGTGTTATTCATATCCTTAGCAAAATTATTAACAAAGTTATCACATGTAGCACCAAAAACAATATCATCCACATATATTTGAGCGATAAAAAAATCTTTTCCTTTCCTGAAAATAACAATGTTTTATCAACTCCTCCTCTTCTGAAGCCTTTATGCATTAAATAAGAAGTTAACTTTTCATACCATGCTCTAGATGCTTGCTTTAAATCATAAAGAGTCTTTTTAAGATAAAACACAAAATCAGGATTCTGTGGATCAATGAAACCTTTTTGTTGTGCTACATAAACTTCTTCCTACAAAATACTATTTAGAAAAGCACTTTTGACATCCATGTAAAACAATTTGAATTTAAAGTGACATGCAAGAGCAAAAAGAAGTTGAATATACTCAAGTCTAGCAACAAGTGCAAAAGTCTCATCAAAATTAATTCTTTCAACTTGAGTGTATCCTTGTACAACCAGTCTAGCTTTATTTCTCATCACAAGATCATATTTTTCAAGTTTATTTTTAAAGATCCATTTGTTCCCTATGATATTAACATCACTAGGTTGAGGCACTAGTTCCTAAACATCATTTTTCAGAAATTGAAGCAATTCTTCTTGCACACCCATAAGCCACTCAGAACTTTGAAGAGCTTCATCAACATTCTTAGGTACAAACTAAGCCATGTGACATGAGTGTCCTATGTCATCTACAATGCATGAATGTCCTAAATGATCATGAACTATACTCCTAGTACCATACTGATCCTATGGACCTATCAATTTGTTAACTGGATGACTTGATCGAACTCTAGAACTGCTAAATGTGGGAATATCTAAGGATGGAGTAGGAATTCCTATAGGTTCATCAGTGGTGACTTCTAATTCCTCATTATCATCTTCTTCAACCTCTTCACCTTCTCCACTTAAATTCTCAACTATTTCCTTCCTCAAAATTAGTTTATTCTTCATCAAGTTGAGAAGAGGTGATCTTAGATTTTGTATCATCAAATACAATATTTATAGACTCCATGACCACTTTGGTTCTAAGATTAAAAACCTTATAAGCCCGACTTGTTTGTGAATAACTCAAAATCACACCTTCATCACTTTTAGAATCAAATTTTCCCAAGTGTTCCCTATCTCGAAGGACATAACATTTACTTCCAAAGACTCTAAAGTATTTAACAGTGGGCTTTCTATCATACCACAATTCATATGAAGTCTTTTTTGTTCCAGACCTAAGATAAACTCTATTTAAGATATGACAAGCAAAACACACTGATTCAGCCCAAAAAGTAACTTGCAATTTTATTCTCATGAAGCATAGTACGTGCCATACCTGCAATTATCCTATTTTTTCTTTCCACTACACCATTCTGTTGTGGTGTTGTAGGTGTTAAAAATTTATGCTTAATGCCATTCTTATTATAATATTCAATAAATTTCTTAGGTTTGAATTCACCTCCATTGTCGTTCCTAATCCGATTAATTCGATATCCCTTCTCATTTTGAATAAGTTGACAAATAGACCTGAAATTCACAAAAGTACCAGATTTTTCTCTTAAATATGCAACAAAAGTAAATCTAGAAAAATTATCAACCATAACAAGCATATATCTTTTTCCTCCAATGCTATCAGGTGTTATGCGACCCATCAAATCCATATAAATCAATTCTAAAGGTCGAGAACTGACTTTATGAATAAGTCTCTTATATGACACTCTAATCTGTTTTCCCAATTGACAATGGATCACATATTTCATTCTTAGGCATCTTCAAGTTAGGCAAACCTCAAATAAGACCATTATTAGACAAATTTACTAAATTATTAAAATTCACATGTCCAAGTATTTTATGCCATAAACAGCCTCATCAGTAACTACAGAAAAACACATTACTGAAGGATCTAAAAATACAATATAGCAATTATCAGAAGTTTTAGTTCCTTTCAAGATGCATTCACCTTTTTCATTAGTTACAAAACACCCTTGTTGAGTAAAATTTACTTGAAACTCCTCATCATAGATTTGACTAATACTCAATAGATTAGCAGCTAAACCTTTAACATATAAAACATTATTCTTTAACTCCCCAATTCCTGAAAATTTGATCTTACCTTTACCACTTATAGTAGAAGCATTACCATTACCAAAAGTAACAATACCAACTGAACATTCCTTAAAAGTGGTAAACAATGTTCTATCTCCTGTCATATGCCTAGAGCAATAACTATCTAAGTACCAACCACATGGACCAAATGCTCTAAGTGTTGTGTGCATGGTAAGGCATTTAAAATTCTCTTTCTTTATCTAAACAATTTTAGATTAATTATGCAACGATTTTCTTATTCTTCTAGGCAAAGTGTCACAAGGCTCAACAGCCATAATCCTCTTCTTCCTCAAATTTGAACTCTCTAGATTTTTCAATTTCTTTCCTAGTTTAATTTTTCTTTTCCGACACTTATACTTAATATGCCCTTTTTCACCACACAAATGACATGTGAAAATAAGTCTGGGAGAACTAGAAATAACACAAGGTTTGGTTTCAACTTTCACAAAAACATCTTTCTATTTTTGAAAATACAAATCCTTTGAAATTGATGCCAAATCTTTGTTACTCCTAAGATTCTCAACCACTCCTTTCAACTTATCAATTTTGCAAGTGTCAATATTAAATTTTCGAAAAAATTGTTTTGATTTAAGAAATTTACTACTCAAATTATTAATTTTAAGTTCCAGTGATTTATTAAACAAATTACCTTCTTAAGCTTATTTTTCGTAAAATCAATTTTATAAAAAGATTCAAATTCTTATGGCTAATTTCTTCCAAATTCTTATTCGAGATAGAAACTTCTAACTTATAAATATCTCTATCAAGTTCCGCAAGATTCAATTTCTCTAACAAATTTTCAAAATCCTTTTTAAACTTGGACCACTCAATTTGCATGCTTGTGACAGAGTCAAAAAGAGGAGGTAAAACATCAACAGATGAATTTTCAAACATGATACAAAAATCAACAATAAATCAACAAATATGATCTACTCTGTATATCGAGTATCCCGCTCTGATACCAAATTGTGAAAGTAGAGTTACGCGGGGTGCGAAACAGTTAGTTAATCTTAATTGTGATTCACTACTTTAATGACCTAGATCTGATTATTAGGTCAACTTGCTCAATTTATGATTGATCAAATTATATGATCAATTTAAACATCCACAATCACAAATATAAATACTGTAAAGCAAAGCAAGTAAAAGTTTAGAGAGATTGTACCAGGATTTTTAGTGAGGAAACCCCAGTTGATAAAATACGTCAACTGTTTGCATGGGAAAAACCTCGTGGACTATTCAGTCCAAAATAAAATGATCCACTATATTTGAAACAAAGTACACCGAACTTTGACTCTGGCTCTCATCCTATCGTTGTACCAAACACCAATTGCTGACAATCCTCTGGCTTTGTGACTTCCCGTTCAATAGCAACTTGACCTTAGGCTTATGCTTGATATTTGTAGAAGAGTAACATATATATTAGACAACACTCCTCGAATGCTCTAACCCTTTCAAAGTGTGATCATTTTTACTTCTGTTTTTCAAGATCTGAACTTGATGTAGAAGAATTAAATCATGCTCTTCATTCGGAATTTTTGAAACTTCATATAGCTCCAATTCTGATGAAATAGAGAACAACACCACTAAATCACTCATGAATATATGTGTATGCTCTCATAAATAAATTCAGAATAATCAGATTTGATTTTCGGAATTTTCTATCTCAAAAAGGCTTTCTCAAAATATAGAATTGATTTTTCCTAAAGCCGTGAATAAACCTAAAAGACTAACAAGGTTTATATAGAGTTTAGAAAGTCTTAATCCCTGAGAAAATATGAAAAATTTCGTGCATAGGACTTAGAAAGAAGTTGGGATAAAAAAGGAAACATTCAGGACAAAGGAAACTGAAGTTATAATGATACCAGGAAACCTTGAACCGGTTCAGAGGGGGCTGAACCAGTTCAAGAAGGCAATAAGAGTTTTTGACCTTGCCAACTTTGGTTCTTGAACCAGTTTAGCCCCCATGAACTAGTTCAAGATGAACAGTTTTGAAATTATGCAGAAGTTGAACCAGTTCAGCCCTGTTGAACCAGTTCAAGATGGCCAGAATGTATAATCTCGTTCTAAATCTTCCAAAACCCCTCCTAAATGTTTTCACTACCTCTCAAAACTTCTTAAAGTATTGTTATCATCATCTCGGAGTGTAATATATCAAGAACACTTGAACTTCTTCAAATCCACATCCGATCTTCAATCTTTAAAATTTTGAACCAAAAAATTACCTCGATCGGACTTGTTTTGACAACGAAATTAGCCAATTGCAAAATATATATATATCTCACAATATTTAAGCATGAGTTTTCTTGTGTTTTAAAATTTTGAATGAAAAACCATCAATCACTCAATCTTTTCTCCATTAATCTATAAAATGGATATTTTTTATTCTTGATTGCTCACAAATACACGCACATAGAGAGGAAAGAGAAGTGATGTTTAGTTTTTTCTACTTTTGATCACTCACAAAACTTCAAGAAGTAAATTAAAAAAACCTGAATCCAAAGAGAATATATAGAAATTAAAGAGAAAGATTCATTAAAGGGGATTTTGATCCCACCTTAATTTGGCGATTGACAAAAGCCACATCACTATCTTCCACAGCATGGATCTACTATTTTTTATATTTATACTTATTTTATTCTTTAACTTTTTTGCGAAGGCAATCAAGCCTACCGTGGCAATTGCTTGTTATGAGCCTTGCACCTGATGTATGGTCCTCAAACAAGAAACACTGGATTCACGTTATGTTCACTACAATTGAATTTAATTCAGAACCTTCCAAAAAAAACCAATATCAAACGCGTGCAAATGGTTTGTTAATGCAACTCATCAACAGTCATGTCCGAAGCAACCCCTCTTCCAGCTCTAAATGGTATAAATAAATTGAAAGTCATGCCTTTTACATTCTATTGAAGCACTTGAAGGTAAGGATGTAAATTTAACCCTCCCTATTCCGTCCCTATTAGGATGGGTTTGGGATCATCTTAACAAAATTATGGACGAATTTGCGAAGAGAGTTTAAAACCTGTTAATCCCGAACCCACCCCGATTAATAAATAGTATATAAATAAATATTCTTGTATTAACTATAATTTTTCTTTTTTCTTTATTTCTTATGATAATTTTAAATTTTAACAATATTTTGTTATAATGGTGGCTAAATATTTGACTATACTACAAATGATTTACAAAATTTACCATAAATTTATTCAAGTTTAAATTGTTTTTCCTTAAAAATATTTATATTTTGGGACACCCCGAGCCCACCCCGACTCCTAAGCCGGTCATCGGTCATCCTGAATTAGGTTTGGGAAAAGATTTTCATTAGTGGGACGGGTTTAGGAGAGGGGTACCCCATCCCGAGCTCACCCCGTTGACATCCCTACTAGAGAGTAAGGAGTGCTACACGTACATTTCGAATTAAAGTCGAGATGTGAATGGAAGGCCCCTTCATAATGCGGAAGAGGTTGGGCTTGGAAGTGGTCCAATGGCCCTCTAGGCCTAATGACTCTCTCTGCTATTGGCTCAAAGGCCCAATAATGCTTTGGACTGGATGGGGCGGCCCAAAGGTGGCTCGGTCCACTTTCGGCTCCTTCACCTGCCCCCTAATCTCTCTCTTATTTATGAGAGCAAGATTAACGAGGTGAAGTTATGATTGATGCGAGGGCTCGATGTGGTGATGTGCGGAGGCGAGCAGCCTATACGGAGATCTATGCTTTGAAAATTGAAGCTTTATCATTGCTCGTGATGCTTCGGTCAACATGACGGTCCTCTTTAAAACCTTTGGTCTGTGCCTTCAAATCCCTCTTCTGTCTTCTCCACTTCTTCTTCGAGCATTCCATTCTTCCATTCTTCTCCGG